CGGGCTGGGGATTCGAACCCGCCACCTTAGGTGTACGTGGCTGGCGCCTTAGCCGCTTGAGCCACAGGCGCCAAGCCCATCTTTGTCTTTCTTAACTGAAGTTGCTTTGAATCCACTTGTATCTGAGAATAAGATCACAAGCCTTCCTTTCTTCGGACTTCCATTTGCTTGAAACACTGTTTTCTATCACTTAACCCTGAGTCTTGATTTGTCCTTCAGGGCCAGGTATTTTTCCTGGAGACAGCATATGGATGGCTTATTATTTTTTTTTAATCCAGTCAGCCATCCTGTGCCACTTCAGTGGGGAATTCAATCCATTGACATTTATTTAGAGTATTGATAAGTGTGGTGGAATTCTATTCATCTTATTATGAGATAGTTTATTGTGTAGTTTTATCCTTTGTGCCATTGTGGAAGCTAAACTCTGGCCTTTGGCTTCTAGGTGTTTACTTTGGTGGTGGTCCTCTGTGGTGTTCAGTATTAAGAGTAGGTATAAGTATTTCCTATAGAGCTGGTCTTGTGGTGAATTTCCTTAGTGCTTGTATATCTGTAAAAGATTTGATTTTTTCCATCAATTCTGAAGTTAAGTTTAGCAGGATACAGGATTCTGGGCTGAAAATTATTTTAAGAGTGTTGAAAGTGGATGACCATGCTCTTCTGGCTTGTAAGATTTTAGTTGAAAAGTTTGCTGTCATCCTAATGGCTCTGCCTATAGGTCAGTTGGTGCTTATCCTGGCTGCTTGCAGAATTTTTTCTTTCATCTTGACTTTGGATAGATTCGTATGTGTCTTCGAGAGGCTCTGTTTGAGTTGAGATGACCCAGGGTTTGATATCCATGTAAAAGGAGTGTGTTGTGGTCTTCAGTAAAACTTGTTAAGTTTTCATTTATGATGGTCTCCAGGAGGGCTTCCATTCCTTTACGACAATCTTATTCCCATTCAGGAATCCCTACTATTTGTATATTTGAATGCTTCATGGAGTCTCATAGTTCTTTAAGGGCATGTTCTGCTTTCTCTCTCTCCTTTTCTGCTTCTTTAATTACCTGGGTTAACACAAAACTTTATCCTCTAGCTCTGGCTCTTTCTTCTCCACGGTTTAACCCAGGTGTCCTCAAACTAGGGCCCGTGGGCCACATGTGGCCCGCTGAAGACATTTATCCCGCCTGCAGGGTGTTTTTGCTGCCACTGCCTGTCCTGCTTAGCAGCCCACTTGTCCTGGGGCCTGCAGTCTGGCCCTCCAAAGGTCTGAGGGACAGTGAACTGGCCCCCTCTTTAAAAAGTTTGAGGACCCCCTGGTCTAACCTATTGTTAATACTTCCTACTGCATCTTTACAGTCTCTGATTGTCTCCTTCATTTCCCTAACCTCTTCCATATCCTTTCTATATTCTACATCTCTTGTCTGACTTTTGGTTCTGTTGTCCCATTTTTCTTGTCCATTCCTTTTATTGTCTTTATCATCCATACTTTAAATTCCCTGTCAAGTCCATTAATTCTTTATAGATAAAGTCTTCTACAATAGCTGCGTCATGGTCCCTTGGGGGAATTCCTCTGTTCTTTCACATTGCCTGAATTTTTCTGTTGGTTCCTCTTCTTGTTCACCTCCTTTTCCTTCTTACTGCCTCCTTTGTTTTAAACAAAAGTCCCTGCTGTTTATGACAGTATGTTGCCATATGTCACCAGGTCACTAGATGGTGCTGTGTTTTAGGAGACAGAGTATAGCCAGCAACCTTTGTGGTCGTACTTTCTTTTTTTTTTTTAAATTTTTAAAAAAATTTTTTTTGTGGTCGTACTTTCAAACTTAGTTGCCTTCATTGATCACCTCATTGTTTCCTCAGCATTCAGACCCTGCTGGGTTGGAATATTAAAGAACACAAGAATTCTTAAGGGGCAGGTTTCACAGTGCCTCCTGACTCCAGTTCCTGTGGGATGTAGGAGCCTGCCCCTCAGTCTGTTTCAAGAGTGGAGTTCTGATCCCAGCAGGTATAATTAAGATAGCTGTGCTTTAGCTTTCTCACCACCTTCCCAAAATGGCAATCCCCTGGCCACTGAGACCTCAGTATGGCTGGCTGCCAGTCACCAAACCTATGGCAAGTCCACTCCAACCAGCATTCAAAACTGGTTGCTGTATACTGCTTGAGTCTGCCCACTCTTCCAAGTCTTGTAAGAACTTTTTCTTCCCGCTTCAACCTTTGCCAGACCACATAATTTTTAAAATTTTTTATAGTGATGGGGTCTTGCTATGTTGCCCTAGCTAGTCTCGAACTTCTGACCTCCAATAATCCTTCCACTTTAGCTTTCCAAAGTGAAGAGTTTAGGAGGTTATAATATACAATGAAGTGACTGGATGTGAAAATGTAAAGTGATTCTGAAAGTAATCTGGTACCTGGCAGTGGCAGTGAAGACCAGCTAAAATAAGTAATATAGAGAAAGAATTATTAGGGCTGACAAAGCACAAATGACTTTTCAGGTACTTAAAAATTTTTTTTCCATTTTCATTAGTACCACCAGATGTAACTGGTAACTAAGATACTTTTAGTATAGCTTCAATCATTTCTCTTGGAAAGAATAGTTTTCACAATGGATCATTTACTTACTAATGTTATTACTCACCTAAAAAGCCGATAGCATGGAATAGATTTCTGAATGTCTGTGAAAAAAAGGATTTTTGTTATTATATTAATAATTTGAATAATATATACTAAGCATTTACCTCACTCTAGGAAGTACTTTACTATTGACCATCTCATTTAATCCTTTTTTAAAACTTTTATTATTGAATCCTTAAACAAACCTATGAAACAGATGCTATCATTCTTCCCCTTTCAAAGATGATATAACAGGCAAAATAAGCTTGCCCAAGCCAATGGTATAGCTAAAATTCAAACATAGAGCCTTGCTTGGAGCTGAAATGCTACATTCCCTTTAAAAATGGTTCAAATACAGGGTGGTGCCTGTGGCTTAGTGGGTCGGATGTCGGCCCCATATACCAAGGATAGTGGGTTTGAACCTGGGCCTAGCCAAACTGCAACAAAAAAAATAGCCAGGCATTGTGGCAGGTGCCTGTAGTTCCAGCTACTCAGGAGGCTGAGGCAAGAGAATCGCCTAAGCCCAAGAGTTGGAGGTTGCTGTGAGCTGTGACACCATGGCACTCTACCGAGGGCGACAAAATGAGATTCTATCTCAAAAAAAAAAAGGAAAGAAAAGAAAGAAAAAGGTTTAAATACTACAACAAAAAATAAATTCAAAGTTGCCATATTTTTACTGGTTTCTAAAAAGGTTATGCTCTATAAATTTACTTAATTGATGAAAACAGCTGTTAAAGGGATTTTATTTTTCCAGGATAGTATAACCATATTTTGGTCAATGACAGACCAAATATAAGACAGTGATTCCACAGGATTATAATGCCCAAATGTACCATTTTTTTGTCTTTTATGCCATTATTTCTACTGCACCTTTTTTGTTTACATATACAGATACCATTGTGTTACAAATGGCTATAGTATTCAGTAATACACTATATAGATTTGTAGCCTAGGAACAATAGCCTACCATATACCCTAGGTGTGCAACAGATACCATCTAGATTGGTGTAAGTATACTGTGATGTTTGCACAAAGATAAAATTGCCTCACTTCATATTACAAATACCTGCTGTTTCATAAAGTTTTCATAAATAGCTGTTTCATAAAGGTTTTGTTGGTGGTAACTATTTAAAAAAAAAAAAGCCAGCATCTTTTAAAAGGTGAGTTTTATTCTTCTGTGAATAGTAATATCCTAGCCAAACAGGAAAAGTGGTTATTCTCTTTAGATACTTTCTTTTCCTAGCAAATATATTTTACCCTCTTTAGATTAATCCCAGTCTGAAATAAATACTAAACAGAAACTGTATACAACTAATAATCAGTAAAATGTACTCTGGTGTGCAGACAAGGGGAAGCATTAAAATGATGAAAATCTCATTAACCAAAGTAATATAGTTTTTTGTCAATCTTGGATCTACCTGTTAATTACCTATGTTAAAGTAAGGCAACATTTAAAAATAATTTGGGCAAATATCTTAAGGCTTAGCTCCTTGCCTACCATAATGTAGTTGCTCAATAAATGTTTGCTTGGAAGAAAAAAGTCTGCTTAATTAAATCAAACTTTCAAAATATTTTAGATGGGGGAGAGGGAAGGGATGGGTAAATTCATACCTTTTGGTTATAATACACAATTATGGGTGAAGGGCACACTTATGTGTGTAACTTTTACTTAATCTGTACAAAAACAAAATATGCAAACAAAACATGTGTACCTCCTAATCTTCTGAAATTAAAAAAAAAAGTTAGATGCTATGCCTGGCATGCTGATTTTGATCAGCTTTTAAAGCCTAAATCTGAACAGAAAAAAAAATTAAAAAGTAAAATTATAAGCTACATAAAAACATGTACAACATAGGACAAAATGCCAATTTCCTTATGTTATTACACATCAAGAAA